AATTTATTTGATTCAAGTAAATATTTATTTGATAAAGTATTACATTTATTTAACAAGTATTTCAAGGAAATATTTACTTGAATCAAAAAGATTTTATTTAAGTCAAAAAAATTGTATTTGAACCAATAATTTCAGTATTTGAAGAAATACCATTTAATTGACTCAAGTAAAAATTATTTGATTCAAGTAAATATTTATTTGATAATAGACAGGTAATCAGTTATTTGAAACAAATACATTTTTTTTCCAGTGAATATTAGCTTCAAGTACTGAAATTATTGGTTTAAAAACCAATTTCGTTGATTTATAAATAATAATTATTTGATTGAAGTAAATATTTATGTAGATAAGTACTATGTACATATTATGAAATCTGTTATTTGTAAAGAATACTATTTGATCGATTTAAATAAAAATTATTTTAACAGTCAATTAATCGTTTATTTGAACAAAATAAACTTTTTTCAACGTTTTAAAATTCATATATAATGGAAAATTTTCTAATTACAAATTTAGCTGCATATAACTAAAAATCTAGATGAAACTGGGTATCTAATTTTGTGGTCTCTTCTCACTTTTAACGCAGGAAATTTACATTATCTAGCGTTTCCGCAGTAATTTTATTTTACGAATGATCTAATGTTTCATCAAGCATAAATTTCTCTACTTAAGCCACTGTAGTTAATAGGGTTCTTTCAAATGTAGAGTTTTTTTAAAGAGTCGCACTTTTTAATTTTAGAATTAATTTTAGAATTAAAAAAAATAATGCGTAATAATTTTGAAACTTTTAAATTCCCATGGATTAAATTTGAATTTGATTAAAATATTAAAATGCAATTAAATATTTACGTGAATCAAATAATTTTTATTTGAGTCAATTAAATGACATTTAATTGAATTTATTTAAATTATCAGTTCAAATACGATTTAATTGACTAAAATAAAAATTATTTGATTTAAATAAATATTTTATTTCATAATAGACAAGTAATCGATTATTTTAATCAAATATACATTTTTTTTTAATGAAATTACAATTTATACCAAATATTTAAATGTTATATATAATTTAAAATTAATGTTTAATTATTAATTAACGTTTTATAAATATGAATTCTTATTAATGAAAATAAATTCAAATGGAAAAAAGTAATTTCGCAGTGCAATGAAAAAAATTCCCAAGCGATTTTTTATTCTTTTAAAGGAATTCGAAGCAGAAAAACAATTTTAAAAAAAGGGAAAAACTCGTTAAGGTAACGCCATAAAATCGTCAAAGAGCACACGTCTCAAGTGGTGTCTACAGTTTTTCAAACAAAAGTGTCTGGTGCCTCTGGTGATGAACGCGCGATTTTAATTGCAAAAAAAGAAGTCTTTGAATTTTTATACAATTCTATGCTCAAGTTATATATATCATTTTCATCGAAATAATGCGTTTGTATGTATTAAAATAAAATGAACAGAAATTTATTTAAAAAGTAAATTTAAAAAAAAATTGTGTATTGTTGATAATAAAAATAATTTATTGATTTACTTGTACTCGTATTTACTAATTAATTTAATTTCATTATTATTATTATTAGGGGAACATAGTCTAGGTCGGCCACCTTTTTGACTTTTGTTTATAACTTTTTTTTAAAAATGAATTTGGACAATTGAAGTATATGGTTGGAAAGTCCTGTTTAATAGGAACATTTTTTCTGTACAAAGTAAATTGACAGGTTTAAAAATGAAAAAGTTATAAAGATTTAAAAAAAAAAAAATTTGTAGTCCAGGTTAGCCATTACAGTCAAGGTCGGCCATGTTTAAAATTCAAAGGGCATTAATCGTTAAAAAATAAAATAACATGTTTGGAGTTACGGAAAATTGATTCTTTATTGTTTACAGTTTGTAACTTAATGAAATAACAAAATAATAACAATAAACAATATAAAAAAATAAATATAAATAAAAAAAAGTTTTGCACTAAAATATTAATAAAATTAAATAAAAATATTAATAAGATGATCAATTACATTATGAGTTATACAGAATTGCAGTTTTTGCAAATGAAGTAGCTCGTCCTCAACTTTGCGCATTTTAAACACATAGTGGCCGACCTTGACAGTAAGTAACATTACCGAATTGTTGTAAACAAAAAGAAATACGTTTCGGGATTCGATTTTTTACTTTGTTTTCCTTTCAACCATGAGTCCCACAAATTTTCTGCATACTTGCCTTGACGATTCAATTTGTTTTTTATCTTTTATTAATGGTTTTTCACATTATGCACAAAACTTTTTTTGAGCTTTTTTTGTACCGACGTCACAGAAAACACAATTTTCGATTTTCCGAAAATGTAATTGAACAAAAAGTTAGGTTTCACTAAGACAAGCTTCGACAAAAATGCGCGTAGGTGGCGCTAGTGAACTTGACAAAAAAACGCGAGTGGCCTACCTAGACAGTAGGCCAACCTTGACTACATTCCCCTATTATTATTATTATTATTATTATTATTATTATTAATTAAAAACTGAAGTCAACGATCACTCCGAGTCAGGATATTTGACAAACCGAGTGATAAATTCGTTTATATTATGTTTATTATTATTATGATTATTATTATTTATTAATTTAATTTTACTACTTATTTTTTTACTTACTTTTGGAGTAAAATTAATCTTTAAATTTCAGTAGTTAGAATTCAATAGAGAAAAATTGTGATAAAAAAATGTTAAATTATGTTAAATGTTAGAATTTTTAATTAGTGTTTTTAATGATTTTTTTATTATAAAATGGAAAAAAAATTTTTTGAATCAAATGATAATTTGCCCACAGTTTCGTTTTTAGCTTCCATTAGTTCTTACTCTTTAAGGGTAATACAGAAATTTTATAGGATAACACAGCTTTCTACTATCCAGTCGGTAAATTGGCTTTCACTTTTGTTACCAAAGAGCAGATAAAAATAAATAGCATAGTATCATAGTATCATAAATTAATAACATAGTAACATTTATGCCTTAATTAATATTAGCATATACAATAAAAAATTTACTTGATTCAAATAAACGATTACTTGTCTACTGTCAAATAAATATTTACCTCAATCAAATAATTTTTATTTAAGTCAAATAAATTGTATTCGAATCAATAACTTCAGTATTTGAAGTAAATATCATTTAATTGATTTAAATAAAAATTATTTGATTCAATTTTAAGAAATAAATGAATTTTATGTAAATATTATTGAAAATAATTAAATTCTTTCGAGGAATTCTATTAAAATTGTTTTTAAAAGAATTGAATTTCTACAAAGGATTTTACGATTTTTAAAAATAATTGAATTCTTGCGAAGAATTTTACTATTTTTTATAAAAATAATTGAAATGTTTCGAAGAATTTATTTAAATTTTAGGAAATCTGTAAAGAATTTTATTAAAATGAAGTATATATTCAAATAATTGAATTTTTTCAATTTTTTTGAAGAATATATTTAAAAATTGCATTGAAAGTAATTTAATTTTCATATGGAATTTTTTAAAAATATTTTGAGAATAGTTGAACAATTTTTACAGAATTTTAAATTCTTGTTGAAATTGAATTTTATGGAAATTTTTTAAAATAATTAACTTCTTTCGTGCAATTTTATTTAAATTGAAATAAAAATAATGTAATTCCTGCAAAGAATTTTACTATTTATAAAAATAATTGAATTATTGCGAAGTATTTATTAAAATTTTAGGAAATAATAGAATCTTATGGAAATATTTTAAAATATTTGAATTCTTTAGAGGAATTCGATTAAAATTGTTTTGAAAATAATTGAATTCCTGCAAAGAATTTTACTATTTATATAAATAATTGAATTCTTTTAAAGAATTTTAATAAAATTTTTACTAATAATTGCCTTTTTCGAGAAATTTATTTAAAATTGCGATCCTGTGATAAGTATTATTATTTATAAAAATTGAAAATTTGCAACAAATTTTATTAATATTTTTAAATAATTGAATTGCTGTAAAGATTTTCATTATTTGAAAAAATAATTGAATTTAGGTGAAATATTTTATTTTTTATAAAGATAATTGAAGTTTTGACTCGATTTTTTTTAATTTTGGAACATAATTGAAGTTTTTGGAAGAATTTTATTACTTTTGAAAATAATTGAATTTTTCTGCAATATTTGAAGAGGAAATTGAGTCAAATAAAAATATTTATTTGATAATAGACAAGTAAAATGTTAAAATACTCTTTAAAAATATTTTCTACACATGTATTGGGTTATTTGAATCGAATAAAATTTTTTCAGTTTATTTGATTCAAATAACCGAATACTTATCTAAAAGTATTTAAAAAAACGTTTTATTAATGTTTTATTAATCAAATATAATTTAATTAAGTCAAATAAAAATATATTTGTCACAGAGCATACTAAATAATTTATTTTTTAAAATATAATTTTATTTTGCACAAATAAAAGTTAGTTTGAAACAAGTAAATAATTTAGTAAGCTCTGAGTCAAATATATCTTTTTTCTGGGTGTTGACAATTAATTTTGGTTATTCGAATCAAAAAAATTTTTTCCAGTGAATTATTACAATTTATTAATGTAAATAATTTATATTATTGTAATATTAAGAATTTAGGATAGAATTAATTGTGGCATAAATATTATAATAATTTAAATTTTACTTTAATATTCTAAATTTAAATTGATAAAAGAATATATAAAATTTAATTTAATTGTAAAAATTTGAGAAAAATCCGCAGGCACTTGGTATTTCTAATGAGATATTAATTACCACCCTAATGACTGAAATTAAAAAAATACGAAACTCTTATGTGAACTAAACTTGAATTCTGAATTCGCTATTCATAACTGGTGACTTATAAAAATAAAGGATAGACTCTCATTAAGCAGCAATTAGTGAAAATTACCAAATTTAAAGACAGGAGTTCTCCAAATTTTTTCTATACAATTTATTACAGAATACAAAATATAGAAGTGGGAGAATTCCCCTTCCCCTGTTTTTGAAAGATGCATCAAAGAATCCTAAAATTTTGCAAGGAACCCATCAGTTCAATTTGTTCCTCCGTAGAGTTATTAACTCTCTGACTAATTGGAAATACTCCAAACCAAGTGTAAAAATTCTAGAAAAAAAATTAAGTTTACTCTGTGACTATTTTATTTTACTGAAAATTTAAAGCTACCTCGAAATAAATAACTGGTGAGCTTTGGAATTCGATTTCTATTTTTCAATAAATTTGTAAATTTCAGATAAATAAAATAATTAATTTTTTTAATTAAATAATTAATTCTTGTTAATAATAACGATTTTTTCATGTAATATCAGGTTAAAAAGGGGATTTTAATTATTATTTAAATTTTTAATATATATTTACTTACGAAATCAACTCGATAGAAAACATGTTGTTTAACTCACCTGAAACAAGAAGAAAAGAAAATACGTTAAATTAGAATTATTAATAAAAAAATAAAAAGTGAAAACATATAATAATTTTTACACTGAAAAAAAAATTTATTTGATTCAAATAATTTTTAATTTTAATAATTATTTGATTACTTGACTATTATCAAATAAATATTTACTTGAATCAGATAATTTTGATTTAAGCCAATTAAATGGTATTTGCTTCAAGTACTGAAATTATTGGTTAAAATTCCATTTAATTAATTTAAATAGAAATTATTTGATTCAATAAGTAAATATTTATTTGATAATAGACAAATAATCGGTTATTTGAATCTCAAATAAATTATTTTTCAGTGTTTCTAGCTAATTAATAGCTAAATTAATTATTAATTTATTAATTATTAATAAATTAATAATTAAATTAATTTTTAAAAAAATGAAAATTTCAATTTTTTTGTTGTTGAAATTTTGTATTTTTGAGAACAATATGAAAAAGTTTAATTATTTTGAAGTTACTTTGAATAATTTTTTATAAGTTTAGTAATTAATTAATTTGAATAAAATTTTATTTAAATAAAATAAAATATATACGAAGCAAATAAATAAGTTAGCAAACTCTGAGACAAATAAATTTGAACAATAAGATTATCATATACTATAATTTGTAATGCATTAAATTAAATCACGTTCTTATAAGTACTTATTTTTCAAAGATCAAATGATACAATTTATGTCGAAGGATTTTTTCTTCAAATCTCTGAATAAAAAAGATTTTTAATATTTACTTTAATTGTGAAATTAATCACTTGTACATTCCCTTTTTTGCTGACAATCTCACTCTTATCTAAATGCGACTAATTTAAAACAATGAAGGTGGTTACACTTGTCTTCAGTCGAATAAAAGTATTGGTCAAGTGCTGACAAGCAATTCTTGAATTATTAATTCATTTTAAAGAATTTAATTTTGTTATTTCTGATTTTCATTCAAAAAGAGGTGAGACTATTTACTACTTTATTGAATAGAGTTTCCTTTTTAATTTTTATTTTCTACTTTTTTTTAATCTTATTTTTTTCAGAAGAAATTTTTATACCTTCTGAATGTTTCAAAAGAACGAAATTTATTCACTTCTTATTCATTGGGTCATGTATTAAAAAATAAATTGCACAATTAAATAATAATTAAATATTATTAAATATTTATAATTATTATAATTAAATTATACAAATAATAATTTATAATTTATTCAATTTTGTTTCTCCTTTTCATTGCAACATTAAATTTCGTGTATTCTACAATCAGAACTTATGGAATATACACTGGAAAGAAAATTTATTTAATTCAAATAATCGATTACTTTTCTATTATCAAATAAATATTTACTTGAATCAAATAATTTTTATTGAACGAAAAATAATTGAAATCAAATAAATTGTATTTGAACGAGAAATTTCAATGATTGTTTGAATGAAATAATTTTTTTTCAGTGTATTGTTATAAATTGTCAATTACTCTGTTTTTTCAATATTTTTTGGCAAAAATATATTTTTTCTTAAACATATAAAAAAATAATTTATGAATTTTTTCAGAAAAAATGCGTTCTACAATTTTGCTTTTGGTAGTCGCACTTTTCATTGTAATGATCAATGGAATGTGTCCATGTCCAAGAAACTACGATCCTCTTTGTGGCAGTGATGGAAGAACTTACAACAACCAATGCCTATTTGATTGTGCGCTACGAGAAAGAATTGAAAAAAACGGTAATTTATTTTTTAACTATTAAAAATTATCAGTTTTCATTTTTTTAATAATAAATTCAAGTTGAAAATAATTTAAACGTTCAAATAAATATTATAATCTTTTGTTAATTATAAATATTTTCAAGAAAAAAATTATTACCAACTGCATTATTAAAAAAAAGTAAATAAAAAATTTAGAAATTTTATCATTTTTTTCCAACTATTTATTATTATAATTATAAACTTCATTGAAATTGTTTTCAATTGTTTTTAAATTTTAAATTAAATATTATTCACGAAAAAAGAACTTTACTTTGAACAGTGAAAACACAGGAAGAAAAAATTATTTGAATAAAAAAACCGATTAGTTGTCTATATTATCAAATAAATATTTACTTGAATAAAATAATTTTTATTTAAATCAATTAAATGGTATTTGCTTTAAATATTTAAATTATTGGTTTAAATACCATTTAATTATTGATTTAAATAAAAATTATTTGATTCAAGAAAATATTTAATTGATAATAGTCGAAGTAATCGATTATTTGAATCAAATAAATCTTTTTTCAGTTGTAAGTTTTTCTGGAACAACAAAAGTTTTAACTGAAACTACCAAAAATTTTGATAATAATAGTAAAATTTGTAATCTGTAAATGTTTCAGACGAAACGTTTTTTCCTTGTTTAAAAATTTAATTGATATTTCTTTCTAATTCTGCGTTAAATTTGTATTTAAATTAATTTATATAAAATTTGTATTTGAAGAAGAAATAAATACATTTCGTTTATTTAAACGTTTAAAATTTTAAACACATTTGATTAAATTAATCTATAGGAAAATTTTTATCCTAATTTTTATATTGAAAAAAGAATTTTTTCATTCACTGAAAAAAAATGTATTTGATTCAAATAACCGATTAATTGTCTATTATTAAATAAATATTCACCTTGAATCAAATAATTTTTATTTCAATCAATTAAATGATATTTGCTTCCAATAATAAAGTTATTGGTTCAAATACAATCAAAATACATTCATTTGATTCAAGTAAAAATTAATTAATTCAAGTAAAAATTATTTGATTCAAGTAAAAATTAATTAATTCAAGTAAAAATTATTTGATTCAAATAAAAATTAATTAATTCAAGTAAAAATTTTTTGATTTAAGTAAATATTTGATAATAGACAAGAAATCGTTTATTTGAATCAAATAAATTTTTTTTCCACTGAAGCAAAAACGAAACAAAATTTAATCAAAATTCGACCATTTTTTGTATTATAATTATGACGTCATATTATAAAATTTAAATTTCTCCTATAATCACGTCATCATTAAATCAATTTTTTTTATCAAAAAATTTCACGAAACCAACAAAACAGTCGATCATTGTCAAATCATGATAATCGTTAAATCAGTTTTTTTCCGATTTTCATTTTACATTAAAAATATTATTTCCAGACAGAGACGATAAGAAAAATTGATTATTTATTTATATTCTATTGTTTTTTTTTCAGAGCCCATAATAACAGTTGTCAGTCACACTCCATGTTTCAAGTATATGCCTCTTCACGGATTTGGAAATGATTATTTATATGAATAATTTAAATTAAATTAATTACTTTTAATTTTATTATAAATTACATTTGTGTATAACTAAATATATGTATATATGTATGTTTTTCGAAAAAAAAGTTTAAGACTACACTGATAATGAATTTATTCGATTCAAGTAAATTACTTGTCTATTTATTTGATAGTAGAAATGGTTTATTTGAATTAAATAAATTTTTTTTCAGTGTAATATTTATATTTTTATAATAATTTTTATATAAATATATTTACATTTTTATGTGAACTTAAAAAAATATTTTTTAATAAATTTAATGTTTGTTTAATTTACGTTGCTTCAATGATAAAAATTATTCGTTTCAATAAAAATAAATTAGTTCAAGTAAATATTTATTTGATAGACGATTATTTAGATCAAATGGATTTTCTTCCAGTATCATATTAGATAGCAAAGTATCAACAGTATATTATAAAATTTAAAATATTTTCAAATAAAAAATTTTTTAACAATAAAAATAATTAATTAATATTTATTCCATTATCGAAAATTTGTGATATAGAAAAATTCATTAATCAAAATCGATTATGTGTACGAAAAAAATATTAGATAATAAATTTTAATTGTAGTGTTAGTTAAGTTATTACTGTTTGCAATTTCTAAATAAAAAAATTACTTGAATAAGGGATTTTTTTAATGAATCATTTTTAATATTCCTCCATTTACCTGTATTCGCATTTATTCCTGTATTTATAAGCTGAAAAAAAAATTATTTGATTCAAATAATCGATTTTATTTGTCTATTATCAAATAAATATTTACTTGAATCAAATAATTTTTATTTAAATCAATTAAATTACGATTTAATTGACTTAAATAAAAATTATTTGATTCAAGTAAATATTTAATTGATAAGTCAAGTAATCGATTATTTGAATCAAATCAAATTTTTTTCTCGTATTTATTTCTTGTATTTATTTCTGTATACCCAGACAAAAATTTAATTTAAATCAAATACAATTTACTTGGGTCAAATAAAAGTATTTTTGTCTTAGAGAAAATTAAACTAAATTATTTATTTAAATTTAATTTAAATTTTTTTCGAGGTAAATAAAATTTTTATTTGAACAAAATAAAATTTTATTTGTGACAATTAAAATTTTTTTTTAAAACCAAATAAAATTTTATTTAAACCAATTAAAATTTTTTTCAAACCAAATAAAATTTTATTTAAACCAATGAAATTTTTTTTTAAACCAAATAAAAAAGTTTAGTTTGCTCTCAGTAAAATATATTTTTATCTTGGTGTATTTGTTTCAGTATTCGTATAATAGAGTAGAAGTTATTATAAAGCAAATTGTGTTTTATTAATAAAACGATAGTCATCACGTCATCAAGATATGTAATCAAACTACAATAATCGCACATGTTTCGCAGTTAACAATTTCTGGAATGTTCAGCACTAGTATATAATACCGTTGTTGCAATTGAGTGCGTTGTAACTTTTTCACGGTGTGCAGTGCCCACTTGCCCAGAGTGATTTATCTAACGGTGCGCCCTTAAGGTTATATACCCAACAAAAGTTTTTTTTTTCTATAAATTAAAAGAAAATTATCAACGTTTTTTTTTTTATTTTCTTTTTTTGCTAAACCTCAACACAGTGGAGGACTAATTTTCAATCACGATTTCACAAAGATCAGATAAAATCACTTCACGATTGTTGAAATTGAAAATATAAATCCCTACACAATAGGAGAAAAAAGCAGAGACAAATTCAAGCAAATATAAATTGGTTTTGAATTAATAATTTTTTAAAATTTTTATTTATTCTATTTCTTTTCGGTAATTATTTTAATTATGCAACAGGGTTGGAACAATAATTTTATTTTGTATTTTCCTCATTTCTATAAAAGAAAATTCAAAAGGAGATCAATTATAAGAACAAAGATATTTTTAGAAACAAAAATTTCATTGACAGGAGTGAATTATTTAAAAAATAAAATTAATTACTGTAGTTAACATTCGTCGATTATTTAAAAAAATTTCGATAAAATTTTTCTAAAAAATTTAATTAATTTAAATACGATTTAAAGAAATTTCAGTTATTTCTAAATTTTTTAATTATTTCTTTATAAAAATCCAATTATTTATTTTAAAACTGTAAAAATTTCAACTATTTCAATATTTTCAATTACTTGTTTATTAAAAAATCAATTAACATTAAAAATAGAATTGAAATTTTTTAAAAAGTTATAAATAAATAATAAAATAAAATTCAATTAGGTAAATATATCATTAATTTAAAAAATTCAATTACTTTTAATAAATTTAATAAAATTCAATTATTTCAATATTTTCAATTATTTAAAAAAAATAGAATTGAAATAATTTGCAAAAGTGAATAAAAGAAATAAAATAAATACATTAAATATAAAATTCTTTTTAAAAATTAAATTATTTTTAATAAAATTTAAGAAAATTTCATATATTTCAATATTTTCAATTCTTTGGTTAATAAAAAATTTAATTATCTTTGAAAAATAGAATTGAAATAATTTTGAGACGTAAATAAAAGAAATAAAATAAAATTCAATACAATAAAGATAAAATTCTTTTTAAAAATTATATTAATTTTTAATAGAATTTAAGAAAAATTCAATTATTTCAATATTTTCAATTCTTTGGTTAATAAAAAATTCAATCATCTTTAAAAAATAGAATTGAAATAATTTGGAAATGCAAATAAAAGAAATAAAGTAAAATTCTTTTAAAAATATAATTATTTTTAATAGAATTTTAGAAAATTTCAATTATTCTAAAATTTTCAATTACTTGTTTCTTAAAAATTCAATTATCATAGAATTGAACGAAGTAATAAACATGTTAATATGTAACTGTTTGGAAATTAAATTCTATTTTTAATTAATTAATTAACTAATTAATGTCACAAAATCCCCATTAATTTGCTTTAATTAAAAATTCAATTATCATAGAATTGAACTAAGTAATGAAAACTTTAATATGTAACTCTTTGGAAATTAAATTATTTTCAATTAATTAATTAACTAATTGATGTCACAAAATTTCTATTAATTTGCTATTTTTTTAATTCAAGTGTTGAAGAATGAAATTAAAAGTTCTCAAATACTTGATTTTTTCGAAAATTTTATTAAAACTTTTTAAACTTTATAATTTTTGTAGTAAATAATTTATTATTATTATCTTTTTCAAGGAAATTGTAATTATGAAAAATTTTGGTTTGACTCCTTCTGAAATTCAATTATTTTTGAAAATTGCAACTGTCATGATATTGTTTCAAAATTTTTTGTGATTCAAAAAATTTTAAGGTTGAAAAAAATTCTAGTCTAGATTTTTGTTTTCTCTTTTACTGTACCAATTTTTATTTTCACTCTAATTTTAACATGTGCTTTAATAAATTTTTATTTTCACTTTCATTTTTGCTTTGATAGTAATTTTTTTTATTTCCACTTTAAGAAATTTGTACTTCCACTATGATAGATTTTTTAAAAATTTATGAAAGTGGAATTAAAAATCTACCAAAGTGAAATTGAACGAGAAAATAAAAATTTTTCAATGTGAAAATGAAAGAGAAAATAAAAATTTTTAAATGTGAAAATGGAAGAGAAAATAAAAAATTTCCAATGTGAAAATGAAAGAGAAAATAAAAATCGATCAAAGTAAAAATGATTGCAAAAATAAAAATCTATAAAAGTATAAATGAAAATGAAAATGAAAGTCAAAGTGCAAAATAAATTACATAATCCACCTCCAGATTTAAAAAAAATTAATTCTAACGAGTGCAAAGCTTGCGATTATTATAATATAATAATTAATTAAATTAATTTTAATATTAATATTTATATTAAAATTTAAAATTTTAATAATTACAACAGTTAATTCTGATTAAATAAAATCTAAATAAATAAAAAACTCAATTTATTGAGAGAATATTTCCTCTCCTAACTTCCATTGGTTTTGAAACAATGAAAAATCTCTTTAAATGAAAATAAATGGATCTATCCCTTGCGGTGTGTAGTATACCATTTAACCAGTTTTCACTGTTGTTTTATTTTTATTCCAATTTATTCGCATAGTGGAACAAATGACAGGGGGGGGGGGTCTTTAAATTAATTCGTTGTTTAAGAAAGTTGAATAAAAACGTGTGCAATAAATAATAAAAGTGTACAATATATATACATACATAAATATATTGTGTTAGCTGCGGAATAAAATATCAACCTGTCGACTTAATTGAAGCCTACAAATGTTGATTACACATTATGCTTACAGCCAATTTGCGATTCGTTTCGCAAGATGATTTTCACTATAACGCTGTGTTGTATGGATGTTCATACACACCAGCATTAACAAATGACATATTTAAAATTTATTATGCATTTTATAAATTACTGTAACGGGATTTATGAAAATTCTCCTCTGCAAATTAGATAAATTTTTTATACTCGCGTTTTTGGTTTATGATCTATTAAAATTTTATACAGAATTTTAGTTGTTGTATGCTATTTATATTTTAGTATCGAATTTATTTTCCGAAATACAGGGTGTCTACTATTTTCGTCCAACAAAATTCCCGTTTATTTCCCGGCTTTTTCCTCATTTTTTTCTCATCAAATTGTTTGCGTAGAATATTATTAAAATTTTTGAAAATACATATTTTATTAAAATTTCCCAAAACAATTAAATTATTTCTAAGAATTTTAATAAAATTCTTCGAAACGATTCATTTACTTACTTAAATTTTTTTTTTTTTATAAATTTCTTTGCAAATATTCAATTATTTTATAAACAATAAAATGTTCACAGCAATGCACTTATTTAGGACACAATTGTCATAAAATTTTCAAAAAATTTCTAATACATAAAAAAAGTTTAATAAAATTCTTCGCAAAAATTCAATTATTTTTATAAATAATAAAAGTCTTCTCAGGAATTTAATTATTTTTAAAAATTTTCATAAAATTCGTTGTACGAATTCAATTATTTTTAATACAATTTATTTTAAATTATTTCTTCGAAAAATAAAAATTATTATTACAAATTTTTTTAAAATTCTTAAAAAGAATTCAATTATTTAAAAAAAAATTGATTTAATTTGTTTATTAAAAGTTAATAATTATTTTTAATAGATTCTTAATTAAATTAAATTTTTCCAGGTTTTTAAAACTACAGTTATATTTTACAAAATTTTTAATTCAAACCTT